AAAATATTAAACAGCACAACTGTTTATACTAAGAAGAAATGTTTCTTAAGCACAAAGTCAGCATGTTAGAATTTTTTTTTTATTTCTACATACAGTACAAAGTACATAACATCTGTGCTTCCAGGCTATTGAAAAACACCAACCACCACTGACGTAAATGCACCTGGTTTAATTTTATTCAAGCATAAAATTTTTTTTAACACTTATTGTATTATTAAAAAACTCTAGTTAACATAATTTGATGAAAGTGAGAGCATATCTGATTCATAATTCATTGTCGTCATTGGTTGTATAACAGGAGAGACAACTGTGACTAAGGTTAAATCAAACAATGACCCAACATGCACCTATACGATATTGGTAATTCACATTCTCAGGAGCACTCTGGAGGCAAGCAAATGAACGCGAAAAGAGAACAGGTTAGTTTCTCTCTCTCTGTTGCTGGGCTACAACACCAGTTGATCGGGAAAATATTCAGCAGTGGTCGCTGTATCTGGCCAAAACCAGAGCGGCATGTCATGGACCTTCATTTAGTAAGGAGAGAGGAGGAAGAGAAACACTGCAGCTTGGGATTGCAAATGAACGCGAAAAGAGAACAGGTTAGTTTCTCTCTCTGTTGCTGGGCTACAACACCAGTTGATCGGGAAAATATTCAGCAGTGGTCGCTGTATCTGGCCAAAACCAGAGCGGCATGCCATGGACCTTCATTTAGTAAGGAGAGAGGAGGAAGAGAAACACTGCAGCTTGGGATTGTGTCATGTCACATTGTGCTCATCTGTCAATGTAGTGGATTATTTCTTGAGAGACTAGAATTGGCTGCCCAGAATCGGACCGCCATCAATCTCGGCTGAGAGTGGAACGCAGGCGGGGGCCCGTCCTGCACGGGCTCATGGGATGCGGACGACTTGGAGCCAGTGCCTGAACAGGTGATGGAGCAGCGGAGTGACTCAACTCGTTACTCAATATAAGCCTCAGCTGTGACTGGTTTTTTTAGTTGTTTCTCAAAACAATAGGGTTGTGGGGTCAGAGAGAGAATTCAGAAGCAACCAAATCCATTTTGGTATTCATGTCAAGCTCCGGTTATAGGAGGTAAGCCGATTTCTGCAGTATTGTGAAATGCCTGAACTGCATGGAGGATTGCACTTGTACAGAGATACCTCTGACCTGACAACTACTGTATCCATCATCCTCAATGATTCTGCTAAATGTGCAGCTAAAGCTACCCAACTGCATGAGTTCTGTATTCACAGCATAAACATATTTCTTTTAAATACATTTTGACCTCTTTAAAAAGAAAAAAAAAAAGAAAAAAGTAAATTGTATCAGGAGACATTGCAAGCTGGACTCAAACCTGCATTACCCACTTAAGCACCAAAACTCAACATTCAGATTACTTGTTGCCTTGTCTACTTAAAGGGATAGTTCACCCAAAAATGAAAATTACTCCATAATTTACTCAAGCCATCCTAGGTGTGTATGACTTTCTTCTTTCAGACGAATCCAATCAGAGTTATATTAAATAATGTCCTGGCTCTTCCAAGCTTTATAATGGAGGTGAATGGGTGTTATTTTTCAATAGTCCAAATTAAGACGTCAAATAAAACACATCCATCCATAATAAAAAGTGTCCCACACGGCTCCCGGGCCATCTGGAGCGAATCGATGCGTTTGTGTAAGAAAAATATCCATATTTAAAACTTTATAAACAGTAATCTATAGCTTAACCAATCAGAAACCCATGTTCTGCCGTAAATAGCACTAAACTAAACATTATCTAAACAATTCTTCCTGAAATAGAAATCGCCGTTAATTATTCAGCACAACATATACAATCTTGAGTTTGTAATAAATGGTCATTAAGAGAGAATGCAGAAAGATAAACGTCTGCCTTAAACTACTTTTCAGCATCAAGGACACCAGCCTGCATTTCATAATTTACAAAAGATTTTGGCTCAGGCACCTAAACGTCCACCTTTACTATGGAAATACAATTGCTCCTGGCTACACTGATACACTTCTGTCTAACCCACAGAGTAATATGGTGCCGTTCTCTCCTATCTGGGTTTTGAAGCATTTTTGGCATTGATATAAAGTGTTTGTCCTCGAATATCATCGGTGGGGGTGTTTCACAGTTAAATAAATGATGACAGCTTTTCAAAATGAATCATGCTATGCTTTCCTTTAGTCAGTCTCATTTTTAATCTTAGATACTTTTTTTAATAGGCTTTGATTGCTGGATAATAGCACCATGGATAAAAAGAGAGGCAAGAAAAAAAAAACATTTCAAAATGTTAGATCTCTCTCCAGGCAATGGAAATCTATTTATAATAAAAGGTCTTCTTAATGAAAGTAGAGATGGTTTTAGAATTTCAAAATCAATTTTAATTCGGCTATTAATCATAGTTTTTTAATTCCCAGAAAATTGCTGCTGTCCAAGTGATTAGGAGCCAGTGTATTATCAAATTATTGAGTCTAAGTGCTATTTTTATTTTACAAAACATTATTAAGAACTGCACACGTGGGTGGAGAACCTCAATCAATACAAATGAAAGTAGCAAGAAAGAATAGTACAAACAAAATAATAAAATAAATAATAATAAAATAAAAATAATTTTCAAAAATATAAAAAGATATAAAAGTAAAAACAGGCAAGTTAGCTATTCTTGTCAAAAATCTGTGCTCAACATGTGTCAAACAGAGCAGATGTCTTGAAAAACCTTCATCAACCTCTCCATCCAATAAGTTACTGAAATTTAAGATATTTTCTAGCATGCAAAAAGTACAGTTTTAAAGTCAGTGGAGATGGAAGAAGCCAGTAGGTAATACTAAAGGGTAGCCAATGATGTCTGCAGACCTGACATCAAGAAAGCTCATTAACAATACTGCCGATACACCCAGCTTTAGATGTTTGTTGATTCAGTTAGCAACAAAACAGAGCCTTTGCAGGAAGCTCAGTGACATCTAATTAGCGTGTTCCATATCTTTGCACCTATACCATTATAAAGGAATTACATATAAAGTCTCCATTAAGCCTGGTTCATCTAATAGATGCAGTATTACACCACAGAGTTAGAACTGTAGACTAAGATTTCATACTTTGAATCATGATTCAGTCAGAAATGTGGTCTCACTAAAAACTCAACCTGTTATTCCGTTACTTGGTCACTTCAATGTGAAAATGTTAGCAGCATTTTTACTCACTGCGTTATTTTTTACACAAAAAGAACATACATGAATTGTGGTACTTCCATTATGGTCCGATACAGATTATGTTATTTTAACACCCAAATAAAACTCACAAAAGTTGCAGTTTGAACAGGTTTTGTTTTCGTAGTAAAAACATGTAACATTCTTTGGTATTTGTATACATTTTTAAACCAAAATTTCTGAAATGTTTTATTTTGGCTATATTATTATTTCATTCAAGGTGTGGTTTCAAAAACATTTTTAAAACGTTGTGAAGCATTACCTAATTACAACCAAAATACAACATTGTGAAAAGTGTGTTTGCTAGGTATGGTATAGTCTACTCATTTGGCCGGGGAGAGGAGGGGAAATGCTTGTCCCAGGCCCTGTGCATTTGAGCTATAACACTTACTGACTGTAGAGAAATGTGGCACGTCAGAAACCAATCATAATCAGCCCATAAAGAATGTCTCGAGCTTTCGATTTAGTTTTTCCTAAACAAATATGTGCCAAACCATGAGCACTTTAGCAAAACAAGATCTTCAGCCACTGCAATATGGATGAGTGCGAGAGTGGGAGCACATTTAAAAGCTACAATCCTCCATTACTGAGCCCTTCTTGACCTTCCTAACACCAGAGATATGATTTCTCACACACGTTTTTGTCTAACTTTTCCATATACCGCGGAGTGTGATGGGGGATGATTTCTTTTTGTTGTTCAGCCGACCCCTTTAATAATTCAGGGAACACTTACTATGGGGCACGCTCTTTCTTTGTACATCTCTGGCACCATGCTCTGCTGGACCTGGAAGCACGGTGTTAAAAATTCATCCGGGTCTTTCTGACGTTCATTGCGCTTTTCTCTGGATTAATGAGTTTGAAGTGCTTTCTGAGAAGTAAAGCGCTCTCACATATGTATGCTGTCTTATAAGATGGTAAACATAAAAACAAAAAGAACAAAGTTTGCAATAGTTTAAGCACTAATCACACTAAGCTATACTAGGACTCCTGGTGCGCTCCCTTTTCTACCCTGGATGCAAAATCGATAGTAATGAAGTAAGAAACACATTTACTACATAATCTATAAGGACAGGACTTTGCAAATATTTAATGAGCATGCAGCGATCTAACTCGAGCAGCATTAAATTGCTTTGGAGTTCTTTGTAGCCTTGCTCCGCTGTTGAAAGTATGCCACAATCGCTTCCATTTGCATACTTAGTGTTGAAGAGAGACCCACCTTGCTGTCTCTCTTCCCGTCAGCCCTCGTAGCGAAACACTACTTAATTGCCAAATACTTCCATAGAGCGGGTGATAGATGTAAATTGTCATTTCCACCAGAGCCTCTGTGATCAAAGCTGCTCGAATTCACAGCATGCTGATAGGAGAGTTTAGCCTCAAGCCTGCATGTCTCACACACACACATATGCACATGGAAGATTTCCACTGCTGCAGTCTCACGATGCTCTTTTACAAGCCACTCGTTGAAAACAAGAACAAAGCGTCTTGAGCTGGGTGTCTATGTAAATCTCTTTTCATGACAGAGGTGGGGCACAAGAAGAGGATAACACACCTACCACAAAGTTTCACAAGCATTGCAATGAGCATTTTATGGACTTAGGCTCACTTTTATGCAAAACTGATAGCGATAAAGTCAACACACAGTCATCTCGATCTCATATGCCTTTTAAAAAGTGAGCGTCCCCAAACTGAACATCTACAATACAGGGACTTCCACAACCAGCAGAGTTAAACACTTCAACGAACACATCACCAACTCAGTGACAAGGAACATATGGTTTAAACGAGACACTGACCCAGAATCTGTATGGTGTTGCGGCCCGGGTGGGTCACATGATGCTGCTGGATGGTCTCGTACAAAGTGGCGTGGCACAGCAGTAAGCAGTTAACACTTATCCACAGACACAGGAGCCAGGACATGGCAGGAGCACCGGCTGAAGAGAAAAGACATCAAAGACAGAAGATAAAAGCAGAATGTTTATTCTATCTGACACACACCTACATGCACGTACCATTTCAGCCCTCAGCATTATTGAATATTGCGCCATTAACAAGCATTATTTCGCAATGTAACTTTAATTTAAAATCAGTATAATTTAAAAATGACAATGAGGTTTTTAGATCATCAGGTAAAGTACATTATGACCACTGACTGATCATTACATATTCTAATCTTAAGGGAATAACCTTGTTTTTTGTTTGCATTACTTTATGGTGAATCCTTTCATAACTAGCGCATAACCTTGGATTGATCGGCACTGCGAGACAGGAACACAAACCAAAGTTTTATTATATAATGACAATGATTTAGATTCAAAACAAACTCTTGGAATGTTTAAACAAGCACACGTTTTCTCCAACTTTAAATTTGTAAGCCAAAGACTGACAGTTAACACTTTTAAATCAGTCCTCGACTCATCTTCCGAAACTTCATCACTTTAAATGGCAAACAGTGTTTAATTAATGGATGGTACATGACACAGTTCTCCTGCACTCTTCAAGCTGACAGGCAGGAGCATCACTCAGTGCACCCTCAAATGACATTGAAATTTCCAATGAATATTCATCAAGCCTCAAAATTAAGCATAGCATTATTAACAGCACATTGTAATCCCCTTTGCTCCACTAAAGCCTCCTTAATCCACAGTTTTGTGGAAATGTGAACTGTTCCCAGAGGAGTGCTATTCTCTCCCTGGCTGGCAAACTTCAACTGTCTTCTTCAACACTATAAAAGAAGATTTAGCACATGCAATCAAGTCTATTAACACGCAACAGAAGAAGATGATCTTTAAGCAAAATGATCATCCTTGGACTTTAGAAGGCCACGTAAACCTCAAGACCTACGCAATATATTGTGTGACATATCTTTCATTTTCCAGGTAATATTGTAAGTCACTTTTCTATGATATGGTGTCTGAGATTCCGACAAGTTAGTGAGCGCAGCTTTGGGAGTCGGTGCTCGCAGCTATTTTATAATTAATGCATTGATCTGATAAATCATCTGGTTGGATGCTTTTACATGTTTTACTTTGTGGTCCACATGCTCATCACCATCCTCGGGCACACCTGCACACGATCACCGCAAGATATTCTGTACTCACACACTTAAGATGATGTGCCTAGACATGAAGGTAGAAAAAAAGAATAACAAAAAAAAAAAAACTAATAATAATAATAATATAAATAAATGTTAATTTAAATTATTTTAATTTTATAATGATAGTAATAATACATATTATTATTATCATACAATTTCTGTGTGGTTTCATACATATTATTCTGAGGAAAAAGAAAGAAACACTGTCTATATACTCAATATTTATTATTGCATTGTATTGCAGATTTTATAACAAAACACAGCTCTTACATGCAAAACATTTGGCCATCATATGTTCATTTATGCCACAGCAGCAGCACTGAGATTTGGATTGGCAGGAACATCTATCTGCACCGCATTGAAACTGTCAACTCTTAGCATCATTGATAAGCATTAGTCATCCTTGTGAAGTGACTTCTCGTAGATTAAGATTTTGTTTCACATCCTACCATGGCAGAACAATCACACCTAATCTTACCTGTGAGATACGGTGGAGAGAACGTTAAAGAAACGTGCCGTCAATTGTTCATCCAATATCCTCAGCACATAGTCATAAATCCATCCATGCTCTCGGGAAAGAGCTTCCCAGCAAAAGTTCCTGTTCGGATCTGCGGGTCAGAGGGGGGATGAGGAGACTTTTGTTCCCGCTCCTGCCCTTGATCCCCTCTTCTGTTGTAAATCCTGGCTGCAATCCACCGAACACAGTCAGAGACACCCGACAGCAGAAACTCCCGTCACAGCTGTGAAACGCTGTCAGAAACTAGCTGGGATTTGAGGGACGAGAGGCTTGTCATGTCACCCTTAAATCACCAGAGAAGCAACGTCTTCCTCCTGTTTCTCAGCCTCCTCACGCTTCTCTCTGAAGGTGAAGCTTCTTTGGAGGATAACAAGCTAATTTTCCTCTGCACTTTTTGGTCCTGCACATGCGACGGCACTTCTCTCTCTCTCTCTCTCTCTCTCTCTCTCTCTCTCTCTCTTTCGAGTGCTCGCTCTCTCAGTCCCTCTCTTCTCTCAGCTCTTCTTTCCCATTGAGAAGCCACTCAGTACAAGTCTCTCCTCTTCCCAGTGTACTGATTGGTGTGCACACGCATGTGTGAGTGCAGGCATCCTATGAGTGTATGACAATATCGCCTCACGAGTGGGAGAGCGAGACACATCACACGTCTTAAAGACTGCCCACTGTAGCCGAACAGAAAGGCATCTATACTGTTGATATAACATCGTATGCGTGTGTTTTCTGTGTGCAACTGCAGCCTGGAAAGAACACAGACAAGATGGTTTAATTTCACAATATGCTTCCTCAATTCTTCAGATTTTGGAGGGTTTGAACAAAGAGACTGAAATATGCTCAGAGCATCACGCTTTTAATAGAAGGCAGTCCGCAGCTGCGTTTGCAACCATCTCAATATTCTGAGATTGCTGCGGTGTTTCTTTGCCTGTTTGTACAATCTAAATGACTCTTTGTGTTGCACGCGGCTCTCGCTGGTTGATGAGTGTTGCCAGAATAAAGTTGCAGCTGGCACGCCTGGCACACAGAAACAGTCGTCCCCTTTATGTGTGCTGATGCTGTTGTGGGAATTCAGTGTTTTTTATGATCCGAGATTATTTTTGCATAATAAAGAATGAATAAACAATTAGATAGCACATAAAATAAAATAATAATGATATATATATATATACTGTATATATCATATATGTGTGTGTGTGTGTGTGTGTGTCTTTCTCTCTATATATATTGACCTATGTAAAACGAATAAATATATTAGAATAATTTGAACAATAATTAAATAGGTAAATAATTAACTATAATATTAAGTATCACAGAATATTTACTTTAAAAATGTACTTTTTAATAATATATCCATTAAAACTATTAAAAAACTGCAGAAATTATTTCATATTGCAGATGCTGATTCCTGATACAGAATAATGTGGTTAGAAATGTGTAATATGAATAATTATAAGTGTAGACTGAGTATAGAGTTCAAGTGTTTATTGTTTTTTCTCCTACAGGGAGAAATGAAACACAATATCTCCGAAAGCATCATGATGCAAGAAATAAGGACACATCTAACAATAGCAACAATAATCACAGCACAGCGCAATAGACAAGATATGCAGCGCTATGTAGCATTTGGACCAATCAGACACACAACTTTTTGTTAT